GATTCACCGGCGGCTATTTTATCTTGCATCTTTCGGTTTTAGTTCTTTCGTTGTGGCGTTGAACTGCGGCTGACTTTCTCCTTAACGTTTCACTCAAGTTGTTTGCATGTCTGAGTGAAATGAAAGAAGTTCCAAAACTCTGCTGAATGTGCTATGCTAATTGATACGACAAATGGGACACGACAGAAAGGCATTTGCGGCAAGCTTAGAAAACGGATTGAATTAAATCGACGAGACAAAGATGTAGTACCCTGGATAAAAATGTCTAAAAGAAGTAGGGTTAAACCATCTGCCTTATTTAGTGACCCCGTTTTCTCCGTTCTGCCTTATTTAGTGACTCCGAACCGTTTTCGAAGAAGGTTGCAAGACAAGCAAACTTTACTCGAGAAGTGAGGGAATTTTTATTTCGACAGGCTTAGACCGGTCTTTATCACGCTTTTTTAAAGCCAATGTCGTCCCGCCCACACACATAATGGCACCAAGCGGTCTTTATGAACAAAAACCTAGCGCTTTAAGGTGTGCTGTATGCATGTTGAGCCAATTTGGTATACATTGCTTGATTAAGTGCACGTTCCCTAGATCACTGCAACGTGCATCTGATACGACTTAATGTAACATAAAGTAATTATGAGAATTTAATGACGCGGCTGGAAACTGAAGCCAGGTCTTGATTGCCCGGCGCTGCAGCGACACACAACTAGCAACGTTGGACATAGGAAATAAAAAGTCACATTCACAAAGGTGTTTTATCGTTTGCGTTCATTCACGCTTCTCAAAAACAAGTCGTTGGTCTGCCCCTTTTGGCCATTTTTAGTGGCTGATTTGCTGTGAAGATAACGGCCTTGCGCAGAAGGATGCACCATCGACACATCACCAGGCAAATGCAGAACTGTCCGAAAATCGGAGAACTGTCAGAAAACCAAAAGGCTGTCCGAAAAATGGTTAGGCTCTTCGAAAATTGTACCGCTGTCAAGAAATCCTAAAGCTGTCCGAAAATCAGAAACCGGCCCCAAAATCATGAAGCTGTCCAAAAATCACAATGCTCTCCCAAAATTATAAGGCTGTCCGAAATCATACAACTGTCCGAAAATCATACAATTGTCTGACGCGAAGGTGCGATGGCAATCGCGGGGGAAACGGCTCATGTCATGTTTTTTTTCGAAATCGGGCTCCAGTGCAACAAGCTGTCGCTTAAGCTGAGATGAATTTTGTCATGATATTTAAAAAGCCGTTTAATCCAGTTCGTTGTTACCAGTGCCTTCAAACTAATTGCATCTTTTGAGAAATTTACCACGGTCAGAGAAAGCGTAAACAACTACGGGTCCATCGTTTCCGTCTACGAACACTGTCAGTTGTGACCTCATCACTGGTCAAATGCTTCAATGGCAGTTTCAAAATGGCAATCATCAATGGCAGCTTCAAAACAGCGTGTTTGTATACGAGCCCGGAAACGTTATTGAACGTGTGAACAAGTTATTGAACGTGTGCGTGGCAAACTCTCATTCCTTATAACACATGGCTGGACAGTTATATTTTTGCACGGTATGAACACACCTATGGGGTCAGTTTGTAGCGAAGTAAGTGATTTCGCACTTGACTCGGCTGAGCATTTCACTTTTGGTCCAGGAGCTTGACGTTCAGAGATGAAAGCAAAAATGAAACTTAATGTTTTCCGTCAGTGTTTAGCTTAACATATCATGCGTGTCCTAGTTTGTCTAACTTATGATCCATGGGTTGTCTGACCCGGTCTGACATGGAAAAGAATATTCAAATGCCACCGATGAAATGTAAAACGTGCCATTCCACGAATGCTGGTTCCTCAAAACCAGCGCCGATTATACTAAGCTCACGTCGTTCCGTAAACGTCATATTTAGTTTGAAATCATGTGAGCATAATGATTACTGTGACATCAACGTTGATAATAATCTTCAACATTATTCGGGCTTTACCCTTTGAGAAACCAAGCCGAAAATTATGGCCATTAACTACCTCAGACAGATGTTTCATTGTCCTCCGCAGTTTAAAGCCCGCGCTACAACGTCAGCGGATTTATTAGGCTCATTAATGAGTGGCGTCTGTGAGAGGCCTTTCAAGCAGGCTGACATTAACGGGGCTCATTAATGGGCGGCCGTAGCCAGGTGCACAGCATTCTCATCAGACCATGATTAACGATACACGAGGGTGGCATGTGCTCCAAACGGTTTGCGCTGTGCAAGTGCCAACCTCGCAGCCGCCACGGGGAACGTCACATCTGAAATCCTGTTCGTTCCGAGCTGAGGCGCTGAAGGGATGGCGGGCACGACCGTGGACATTGGCCATTCTGCTGGGCGATGTCATGCGTGACTGGAAGCACCAGGCATGCAGACGATAAGCAATGCAGAGCTACCTCATATTTCCAGCGAGTTGCCGCGCAAAATTCTCCATATTTGCCCACTGATGACGCCGCGTGAGCGCCAGAAGTGAGAAAACCTGCCATTTTAGCGACGTCAGCATCGGTCTGGCCGCGGTTGGGTGGATGGAGGACTGGGTCAAGTGCTCGGGCGGTGAGCTGAAGATAAGCATACGATCCGGCGACGGCGCGTGGTCCGCAGGGCCGAGTCTCCGGGACTCCATGACGCGTCTCCATCGCTTCCACTCCGGTGTGCTTGTAACGCGCACACTCCGATGAGTCTGCAGAGCTGTCACTCCAATGGCTGTTCGTGGTTCGCACTCTGGTGGGTCTCCAGAACTCCCACTGTAACAGATCTCGGAAAGGCACACGCTTTGTGAGAGGTTTGTTCGGCCCCCATGCCGACGGCTCTGGCCGGCTCTCACGCTTGAGAAGGGCTTCCGCTAGCGTCCAGTTTATTCCCCCGGCTTTCACACAGTGCTACCGGTTCCCACTGTAATGGATCTGGCCGGTTCCCGCTAGGTCTCACCAGCTGCCATTCGGACAACTTTCACTGCAACGGATCTGCCCGACCCCTGCTCCGTCTCACCGGCCCTTATTCGTCCAGCCAGCTCCAACTCTGTTCCACCGGCTCGCACCCTAACACGTCTGGGCCGGCTCCCGCTGCAATGATGGGTTACCATTCGGGTGCTACGGATGTCGGTTGGCTCGGATACGGAAGCAGGCGGAGTTTTCATTCCGTCCCACCAGTTTCCGATCCGTCCTGCCAGCTACTACTCTGTTCTACCAGCTCCCAGTTCATTCCACCGGGTTCCTCTCCTTCCCAACAGCTTTCATTCCGTCCTTACAGCCTACATGTCATCCCATCAGCTCCCACTCCCTCCCACCAGTTTCCACTCCGTCCCACCAGCTTTCACCCCATCCCACCGGCTTACACCCCATCCCATCAGCTTTCACTCAGTCCCACCAGCTTCTAGTCCGTCCCGCCAACTTGCACCTCAGCACGTCTTCCGCTGCGATGGGTCTGTCGACTCTCAGCCCGTCCCACCGGCACCCGCCGGCCTCAACTGTTAGCTCCCGGTCCGTCCCACCAACGTCTGCCGGCCTCGATTCGCCCGCTCCCACTCCATCAAGCGTCCCTGTTTGCCGTCACCGTCAATGGAGCCAATCTGCCTGCCGGCCCTGCTGGTCGGCGCTGCCAGCCGGGAGCCGTCGCTTGACCGGGGCACCCGGTGGGAGGGGCGGCCGCCAGACGCCCCACCGCAATCGGGCCTGATTGCGCTCGTCGGACCGGCGATCCGCGCGCCCCTGGTGACGTCAGGGCGGCGGCGGGCCGGGAGCGCCGCTGATCCGCCCGCGCCGAGCGCCGCGCAACTTGTAAGTGATCCTCGCGAGGTGCCAAGCCGGGCGACGCGGCGATTTGCATGCAAGATGTTTGCGTTCGAGTCAAATGCGCCGCCCGGACGTAACGGACGGCTTGGATCGGACGGCTGGGATCGGACGGCAGGGATCGGACGGCTGGGATCGGACGGCTGGGACGGCTGGGATCGGACGACTGGGATCGGACGGCCGGGATCGGACGGCTGGGATCGGACGGCTGGGATCGGACGGCCGGGATCGGACGACTGGGATCGGACGGCTGGGATCGGACGGCCGGGATCGGACGGCGGGATCGGACGGCGGGATCGGACGGCTGGGATCGGACGGGATCGGACGGCTGGGATCGGACGGCCGGGATCGGACGGCCGGGATCGGACGGCTGGGATCGGACGGCTGGGATCGGACGGCCGGGATCGGACGGCTGGGATCGGACGGCTGGATCGGACGGCTGGGATCGGACGGCTGGGATCGGACGGCGGGATCGGACGGCTGGGATCGGACGGCCGGGATCGGACGGCTGGGATCGGACGGCTGGGATCGGACGGCTGGGATCGGACGGCTGGGATCGGACGGCCGGGATCGGACGACTGGGATCGGACGGCCGGGATCGGACGGCTGGGTTCGGACGGTCAGGATCGGACGGCTGGGATGGGACGACTTGGATCGGGCGGCGCGCGCGGATTCAGCGCGGAGAAGCGGACGGCTGAGGCCTGCGTGCCGCCGCATGGCTGCTTTGGGCTCGAGATGGGGGTGTCAGATGAGGGTCGTGTATGCATGTGCTGAGGTGGAAATAACATGCCTCTGAAGAAGCTATTTTCTTGTTTTTTCTGGTACATTTCACGAGACCGAGAAACGAATGTGAAAGCTCGTGGTAATTTAACGAGCATTCCTTTAGCTTTATGTAGCCATCTTTCAAGGTTCACAAGAGACATGCGAATTTTCGCTGACTATTTTCCCTCGTTTCCTTGACGCGTCAACCATCATACGCATTGTGATGCTGCACCGCTGCACAGCCGAGCCGGCGGTGCAGCATCTTACAGGCGACTGCACCGCAGGCGGCTCGGGGCACTTCCGTTCCGGCGAACTCCTCAGCCGCAGACTGTTTCCAATACTACCACTGGCGCAGGAACGGTAATACCGGATGACAGGGCGGCAGCGGCCGCGGCGCGGCTTATTATGAAGCCGTCACCGCGCGCGCGGCCCGCCGCTGAAAGCGTTTCTCTGTTGCAGTCAATCGACAATTGGAGCTACGACGTGTTCCGCCTGAGTGAGGCGAGCGGCGGCGCGCCGTTGCGCCACTTGGGCTACGAGCTCATCAACCGCTACGGCCTGTTCCACAAGTTCAAGGTAAGCAGGGCGATCGCCGCCGCTGTCCGCTGTCCTTCCGGCTGGTCGGGTTTGGCTCGTGGATCCACCGCTCTCGAGCAGCAACGGACGGTGTTCACTGACCATTTGGCGGGCTGCAGATTCCCACAATGTGATTCACTGCACGTATGGGCACTGTGTGGTGGCGCATCAACTCGGGGAATGCTCACCGCCGTGGGGTATTTGCTCCTTTCCCCAGTACTTGCCTCAGGCGATGGGTGGGATTTTCCGTTATTCCCCATGGCCCAACGAGCCTCCTGAGATGCGGTAAGGCCCACGTGTCTTCCGCCACGTGCACCCGTCTACCGCATGCTGCCTTGTGGACATCAGACGGGGTCGTCCTGGACTCCGGCGCCGTCCCTGCCGGGCGGCGGCACAGCACTGCTCCAGCGCCGTGTTTGCTCGGCTGGGTTTAGCACCCATTCGGCCTGTTTGCCTACGACCTGAATACGAGAATCCCAGCCGTCCTGTTTGCTCGCCGGGGTATCGTGCCGTACGTCGCCCCTGCGGATTATTGCAGCTAATGATTGTGCCAGCTGATCCGATCTTGTCATCGGCACCATGGCTCATGCGGAGTCGTATGTTATGCGGCGCGATAAGGGCCGGGGTTCAAATGGTTCTGGGACCGTTCTTGATCACGACAGGAAATGACTCGAGCCGCTGCAAGCTGGGTTATGAACCTCCGAGCCATGCGCCTACGCAATTTGGGCTTCGGCCCACGGCGTATTCTTTGTTTTTTGTTTTTTATTTGCTAGAACCCCTGCTTAAAATACAGAGTACGGCCAGTGGTTTTGTTTTTCCCGCTGCCCCGCCTAGGGTGGTTTTGAATTGCCTTCATTTTATCGCGTTTTTAGCTGTTGTAGTTTAAGTGGCATCATTCGACGCTGCTGGAAAAGCTCCAAGGCTGTTTCTACCTACCGAAGTAAAATCAGTCTGGCAGCGCAGCTTACTAAGCGTCAATTGCTTTCAAGGGTGGCGTCTAAAGTATGAAAAATGCATCTAAGATATCGGGTGCCCGTAATCCCTGTGGCTAGCTCCATGTATCATACATTACGCTTCCGGCTACATCCTTACGTAGAACAGTAGTCTCCTGCCAATAGCGTAAGCTGTTGCATCCCCAACTGGCCATGCACAAGTGCGTCTTCTCGCGTACAGGGACCTCGTCAAAGCCTCCGATTCTGTGGAGCTCGCGTTTTTCGAACCTAAAATGTCCTCTCAAGTAACAACGATTAACATCATGCCGAGAGAGAATCTCAACCAGGTCAACCCCCATGAGATGACAACTTGTGATATGGTACTCTCAATTACAGAAAAAAATTGCGTGTAAGTTACGATCGCATGGTTATGATCGTTGCATCGCTTAAACCGCGTCCAGCACAGGCCAGCGGCCTTTTGGCGTCCAGAGGTAAGAAAGATTCGAACCTTACATATGCAGGTGACGACAGTTACAGCTCCTTTGTCTGGCACTACCCCAGTCACGTATCAAGGACTGGGCATTATGTACAATAAATTACGAAAGAACTTTGTTCCCTGTAGCACGTTGTAGGCTCACAAAGGGACCGGCTAGTAAGGTGTCACATGTGACAGCTGTGAAATTCAAAACCCCCTGCGAAACCGTGGTATGCTGGAAAAGTCGACGGGCTACAACTAATGCCTTGCGGGGCATTTCTGAACCATTGCGCGGGCTTCTACGTGCAGTTGGACTTCGAAGACGCCTTCTGAATAAACGAAAAAGAGTCAGATTCCTTGAAAAAGCAGCAGCGAGCAGGCGACATCCCTCGCCGTCCATCGAGAAAATTCCGAGCATTGGCGATAAACCTGAGCTAAGTGCGCTGAAAAGTAAAATAGACTCAGGTTGGGAGAAAAGGGTGAATATGAAAGCTTGGAATCGCTACTAAAACTTTACTATTAACAACTCAAAACTGGGTTTTGGGTACGTGGTCATTGGATCACCTGGTTTATCAATCCCTGATTTGCAGGAACCTACATGATCACGCTTGTATCGGAATGTTGGCAGAGAGCTGATAAATGTGTAAAATTGCGTTAATTGTGAATATTTTACGATGCTAATGGGGACTGTACATTTTTGTGAAGTGCAGTCCCCATTTGTTTTTTGTTTGTTTTGTTTGTTTTTCCAACTAATTTTACCTTATAATTCTGGCCATCTTTATCTGGATGCGTCTCTTGCAGCTCGGGAATGTCGTGAAGTGCGACGGAATGGGTTTTTCCAAATTGTCTCTGTGGTGGTCTTCCGCGACGGCACATACTGAGTGAAGTCACTAGTAAAGATGAAGAACAGCACTTGGCCAGGGTGGACACCTGAATCACAACGCGGTGAAATCCAGCCTGCTGGAACCACAGCGGACCGTGTGTGTGCCATCCTGCAGCCGGCGACGAAACCACGTGACGCCGATGCTCACCATTCTGCATATCCAGGAGTCGGTGGGAAGCGACATTGTCAAATGCCTTTCGGGTGCAGATCATGCAGATCTCCAGATTATAGGAGTAACCCCAACGCGACATTCCTCGATGTGGTGGAGGCTTCAGAGGAAGGTCAAAATGTGTTCTGTCCTGCTTCTCGCTTTGCCGCGCTCTGTGGGAGGGGGGGGGAGTCAGTTTTACCCGTCCTACGGTTTTCCAAAATAAGTCTGAGTTTGAGACGAAGTTATGCAACTTTAAGCTGGTTTCTTAAGCATTTAGGGGATTTTGATTAGATTGAAACCATTTCCATCAACCTTGAAATATTATTAAAAGGCGAAAAGCGTTTTGCTTAAAAACCTGTTCTATGAGATAGTTTTGGTGCTCGTTTCAAATTTTGCTGATCGCAAAGATGTAGGATTTATTATGTTGACCTTATGAAGATCAGCGGAGGGAATTGTCCTGAAATGACCATAAGAAACAGTTTGATTTGGAGAGCTTGTCACGTGGGGTAGTTTGAGCGCTGATTTTATATCCAAATACCAATATGATCTCAATTATTTGTGTAATTTTGGCCTTTTAGGTGCCAGACAAGGTGACCGACCGGGGGTGGCTCTGACTGACCCGTTGCTTGAAAAGGTTATGTATGTTAAAATTGGTTGTGTGGGTACGTCTAACGGCACTGATGACACCGATTTCGAGCTTGACGTGGTTTTACCTTAGTTGACCCGAAAAAGACAGCCTGTCTATGTAAATGCCTACACGAGTAAAGTCACATAGATTCCTACGGACATTGTGATTTTTGAGTGTCTAGTTCTCCTGCTTTTTATGTCTCAATGAGTCAAATTCACCCTGCCCCATTGCCCTGTACACAACCGGCCACCTGTGAGTGTGTTACGGTGCATCTGTTTCATCAGGTGTTGGCTTGGAGTATGCCTACTCACGGTAGAGTATTTGTATGCCACATTTGCTAAAAGTGTTTTAATTTTAGCCCTTTAATAGTCTGGGGTAAACATGAACTACTGCAAATTGCCGCGCTGGCGTCCAAGTGTATCGCGTAGCAATCCCAGGGACTTTTTGTCGCACGTTCTTATTGAAATGACTAGGCTGTAATATCAGCCCTAAACTTTCTGCACAACGTGGAAGCCTGAGCCAAGTCAGTGGGGAAAGAAAGGAGCATTCGATAACGCTTCCACTTCCCCTGCGCAACACGCGGCTTTTAAGAGGCAATCGTTGAGCCGTCATACGCATGCCAGAAAGTACGATCGTTCCATGTATTGTATTAGTGATGTAGCCATATCACTGCCTCAACCGTTATTCCTTTGAAAGGGCCTGTGTGCTTCTTTGTCACATCGTTCCACGGCGCTGCCGACATTGACGTTAACACATTACACTCATACCCGACGTTAGGCTGTAGTCGCAGTCGCGGAGCAAACGCGTTACACAGTGATAATAGCATTATGGTCCCCGACATTCATGCCCGTTTGAAAATGGAACTGTCAATTGTGGCTTGCCAGCTGAGCGGCTGGGGCTCAGGAGCGGAACTTGACACGAATTGTAAAGGATCCAAATGATATTTGCGGTCCCGTTATTGGTATAGAATGCCATAAACGCTGTGCTTTTTCGAGAGCCATTGCAGATACAGCTGCATCCACAATTAGCGTTCCGCTCTTGCTGAGATCGACAACAAATAATCTACGACAGCGGTCAAGGGCAGCCACTCAGTTGCGCTGCATGCCATAGTGCGTTCAGTACTTAAGTACCCCGTGTTAACTCTTTCGTCGATTTTTTACATGTACCACAATGTTTTACATATGGACAGCTTCAAAGGCACATGCCCAAAAACGACAGCACAGATGATCCCTATCAACAGCATAGATCGTATTGCACGGGTGGTGAAACACCACACACGCATCAGCATCCCACGAATTTGGAAAATTCAATCTCATTAAAGCCGATTCTATCCGTGCAGTCGATTTCAGCCGATTCCCAGTTAAAACCGATTCTCTCCATGCAGTCAAGTTAAACCGATTCCCAATCAAAGGCGGTCCTTTCTATGCAATCGATTTAAGCCGATTCCCAATTAAAACCGATTTTGTCCATGCACCCGATTTAAACCGATTTCAGTTAAAGCCGATCATTCCCACGCAGTCGATTCAAGCCGATTCCCAATTAAAGACGATTCTTTCCATGCAGTCGATTTAATCCGATTCTAAATTAATGCCGATTCTTTCCATGCAGTGAATTTAAGCGATTCCCAATTAAAGTCGATTCTTTCCATGCAGTCGATTTAAGCCGATTCCAAATTAAAGCCGATTCTTTCCATATAGTCGATTTAAGCCGATTCTAAATTAATGCCGATTCTTTCCATGCAGTGAATTTAAGCCGATTCCCAATTAGAGTCGATTCCTTCCATGCAGTCGATTTAAGCCGATTCCAAATTAAAGCCGATCCTTTCTATGTAGTCGATTTGAACTGGTTCTCCATTAAAACCGATTCTTTCCATGTAGACGACGGAACCCGTCGACACGAGCGCCATGACCTCGCCGCGGAAAGTAGCTCCG